TGTACACTAATTACTGTTATAATGTTACTTATCAAAGTTTCTGTGAGCTGGTTTCTGGGGCTGTGTGTGCAGTAAAAGTTTCAGGGATCGACAAAGAATTTTAGGCACCATTTGTAAATTAATAATTAATAAACCAGTATAAAAGTTCATTAGGACAGAATAAGAGAAGCAGTCAGAGATACTCTCCAAAGAAAGAGAAGGAAACATTAATGAACTGATGTTACAAAACCAAATTTCTCAGCAAGTTATCCTGTGAGGTGGAGAAAACTCTATAAGGACTAATTCTAAAAAGCAGTTAGCAATACCACAAGTTCATAAAACTTTTATGCACACATCAAATTGCTATGAATTCCCTGTTCAACTGATGACAAAGCTTGAAAGGTTCAACAAGAAGTAGTAATTACAATAGCAGAAAAAAAATACCTAAGATTAAGTCTCTGGTTCTTTAACCAGAGTTCCCATCTTCATATAAACACAAATCCCATGGAAAACAGTGTAACATTTTTATGAAGATTAACTAACTAAATAGTAGCTAGATTATTTAAACTATTCATTATTTCAGTATCCACTGATAGTAGGATAGCAGGAATACAATTAAGAGTACTCCATAAGGAACACTATTATCTAATGTCTATGCTACACCCTTAATTAGAATGGTATTATCCATAATAATGTCTTTTAAAAAATTCATTAAATGTTTTGGGTGCTAGTCAGACAAAAGACTAAAAGAACAAATTATGCATTTTTAAGCACTTACAGCCAATACTTAAAATTAGTTTAACTAATTTTTTCTTTTGGTTTTATCTAGAAAAAAATCCTACAGAAAACTCATAATTTAGAACAATGAATATAGCTGCAATATCCTTGCATGATTAAAGAGCATCCTGCACAACGGTACATTGTGGTTTGCTCATTTGTTACTTGGGTGTTCTACCTCAGGAATGAAATAGCATGTTTTCTCTAATGTCACAAATGATTGCAGTTCAGCCACTTCATACATACAGTTGCAGTGCAAATGAGCACTGAGAAAGAATACATCAAGCGAAATAGCTTAGTTATAAGAATTTTAAAACACTTTGGCTGGTGTGGGTTAAATTTATTTTAAACTGTGAAATTGTAAACAAAAATACCAGTACTTTTACCACAGTCAAGATGATTTCTATTTACAGATTCTATTTACATCTGGTTAGGGACAGAGTTAATCTGAAGTCCTTGTAGCAAAGAATGAAAGATTAAGACTTTTGTGTTCCAGGCTGAAACATCAAAACAACAGCTCATTGCTGCCCTTGAAGCTAAACAAAGAGACACCAACATATTTGAAAGTGTTGTGCGCAAAGTAGAGAATGCAGGTATCTCATTTTGGTAAACACTGATGAATATAGCATAAATGGTTTTGAGTATTACTACTAATATAAAAGTTCATCAATTGCTTACCTAAAAGTTTCGGTAAAAAATGTTAGAAGATAGTTGTGTTTCAAATTTTTTCATGTTTGTTTGGGAAGTCTTTAAGAGGTCATGATAATGAAGAATTCCCAAGCACACTTTCTGAGTTTTCCATTGCTTTGAACACACCAACTCTTGTCTAAAATTACTGCTAACTGAATCAGTATTCATCTTTTGAGTGATTTAATTAATGAATGTGGAATCTGACATGTCTCATACCAGTCTGATGTTCAGATAGCAGTGATTCAGGATTTTGTAAATACTAGTTCTGTTCTATATCTTTTCAAGCAGGCAGCCAAAGTGAGGGAGCCCACACCATCCATCTTGCATAGGATATGAATGTTTCTCTGTGTATAGGTTACTCTATATCGGGACCTTTCATGATTCAGTCAGAAAATGGGCTGAGATTTCAACCTGAGTACCACACGATCATATGTGGAGAGTGTCTGTAACCAGTGTCTCCATTCTCAGTGTTACTGTTAATGGAATCCTGTTACAAACAGCGGTGAGTGGGTTATTTCACTCATCTTTAGCCATTTAATACACATCTAGTCTAAGCTACTGATCTAACTTGCTACAGTCCATGGAGTTCCAATGTTTCAGTACAACCTAGCAATTTACTGCAGATATAATCTACTTTCAACAACCTTTCTCACCTGGCTGGAGGCTGATCACAGGAATCCTACCTCCTCTTAGAGTCAGTCACCTATTTTGGTGAGATGCATCAAGTTTGTCACACTCATCTTTTTTTTCCCCATTGACTTTGAAATGATTTAATTAAGTAGCTCAGATGGAGCCATTTATTATTGATCAAATAAATCCTATTTCCAGCGGAAATCTTGAAGGTTTAGTTCTTAAGGTCCATCCCCATTTCTGAAGAAGTGACTGTCCTGCGGCTGGAGATGTAGGACTTCTCTCCAGGAGTTAAAAATTTAGCATTCATAGTCTATACAATATGACCTACCAGGCAAGTTTGTTGCTTTCATTCTTATTTTTACAGAAGAGAAATCTATAAAAATGTCATGCATTTATGATACAATTTTGTATATCATTTTGGTCTATGGACAATTTTTTTGTTTTCCAGACCACAACAGAAGCATTCTGGAAAGCTTCCTATGTGTAAGAGAACTTTTTACCAAAAAAACTGTGCTCTTAGCTCATGGTTTTGTCTTCCTCTTACTTTTACAATCAAAAACTTATACAACCACTTTAATGGTGAACTGAAACCTGTCTGCCTTTATTGTAAGATCTGAAGCAGTCACCGTTATCACCTGCAACTAAATAAAAGGCTTGATTGTGCCTTCTCTGAAGCCTTAATGGGGTAGACAGCTTGGTTTTATGGAAGTCCACTATTGTCCTCAGTGCTAAACTTCAGTTGCTCCCTTGGCAACCCCAAGCATTTCAAGTAAAATGACCACCTCCAGATGCACACAGCTCTTTAACGTGGACTTCAGGGTATACCACTTAAAAGGCACAAACTAGCAATCTGTATGTGGAAGTTGGAATTCCTAGGCTGAATTTCAAATGAAACAAAGATATTTTCCCCTTTTAGGTTTTCTGGCGATGCCATAGTGAGAAAAACTCTTTTTCTTTTTTTTTTTTTTAAGGCAGGCAGCATGTGCTTTCCATGGCCCTGTGCCATCTGCATCATTAAGGCACCTTCTTCCATGATTTATATGAATCTTGCAAGCACCAAAACTCTGCTAACTATCCAGGCAAACTAAAAATAACCTCTGAAAATAATCCAATGTAAAAATTTGCCTTCCAAGAGCAAAAGCAATCTATTCTTTATAACCCTTCAACTGTGTTAAAACACTGATGAAGTTACTGTTTACTGATGATACCAAGAAATCTAAAGCAACTAATTTCTTGTAAGCTGCTTCTGTTAATAGTAGAGAAACCTGGTGTAGGTGCTTATTTGAATATTAAAATGGTGTTAGATTAATGCTATGGAAGAAATATATTGATCTCATAAGATTACATATGCACTGAAATTTCCCTAATGGGGTACAAATTTATTCCTCTTTTTTTTTTATTTGTGTCACTTGAACACTCATCCTATATTTTTCAGTGTTTTCCTGATTGTGTTCATTTTTCGCATGACTAATTGGAAGGTTGTATTAATGAACAAAAGTTTGCAGAGCAAAACCAACACTATCAGTGGGGCTGTTCATTAAATCATGCTTTCCATGTATACCAGCTTAAAACAACCCTAAAATTTTAACTACCCTGTAAACAATCAAAAGCTGGGAATGCAGTTTCATAATTTTGAAGGGCTTTTATTTTAGCAAGGGAGATTCATCTATTTGAGTGCTGCTCTATTGTCAGTGTAGAAAAGAAAGGATTCCTCCAGGTAACTCAGGACACCTGCAAAGCTTGATTTCTGGTTCGTGTAACTCTTGACAGCAGCATCTCCTGATCATTGCTTACAAACAGAGCAAAGATGTTTAGTCTCCCTAGTCTCCCTATATAAAATTAATTTTTTTGAATTAATCCCTTTGCCTCCTAAGATTCACAGTTCCCTTAGGTGTCTTCCCACTCCTGTGCCAGGTAAGGGAATGGTATGTAGGGATGCAGACTCCTAGAAATATTTATTAATGGCTACACAAACTACAAATGGCTGTTACATATGACCTCTGAATTTATTGGTAAAGGTTCCTTGCATACTTGCATGTGGTGTAAGGCTTTGAAACATGATAGCAAACCATCTCCTGCCACAGAGAGAAAATTTCTAGACATGGACCTTACCAAAACTCTTTGAACATTTTCATTTAATACATAAGAAAAACAGAATAACAACAACAAAAACAACAAAACAAAACAAACAAAAACCCAACAAAACAAAACAAACAAAAAACCAAAAAACAACCAAAAACAACAACAACAAACAACCACAAAATCAAAAGCCACCAGACCACTGATAGCTACTTTGTAATGTGTTGGGTTTCAAACTGCTGAAAGTGAAGCAGAGCAGCATTGGAGCTCTGTAGCCAAATCATAACAAGAAATGCTTTCTCTCTGTTATCAGAACGGTAACACTGTCTGAGTGAGCATTTCCAAAAAGAAGTGGGGTGGAGAAGCTTCAGGTCTTATGTCTGCCTGGTTTGATAGTTGAACTCTGAAAAACTTTGCCAATCCCATGCAATGAATTGGGAGTATCTGAAAAAAGTGTTGGAAATGTTTGCTAACAATAGGGTTTCAGTGACTATATTTGAACTATATTTACTGACGGCCTCTCTCTGATGCTATTGGTCTCAGACAGCAGCATTTATATTTAAGCACCACCTTTAAACTCAAGGTCCTACATCTCCTGATGTTTTTTCTTTTCTTTTTTTTTTTTCCCGCAATGACTGTAACAATCACTGCAATGTAGAAAGTATGTTTTTATTTCTAGCCTATCTAGTCTATTGTTATGATACGATTAACCTATACATTCAGTGTTTTAGGATGTAATGGTAATTTTATTTCCTGTATTTGTCATGGACTAAATAAGGCACATTACTTGTTAGTACATGACTGGGGAGTGCAGAGCAGAAAAGTTGATTGCGTTTGTTGTGGCTCATTTTAGTATGCATATTCTGAACTCGGAAGAGTACAGAGATTAGCAGAACCCTGTGCAAGGATGACACACAAATTCATGAGTTGTTTCACATCATGTCATGTGGTCATATGTCCCTGGACACACTTGAGCTTGTCTATCCTTGAAGCTCAGCAGGGTTAGACTCCAAAAGCCAATACTGGGTGAAGGCTTCCAGCTTAACATAAAGGGGGAAAATATCACCCTGAGGACAATCAGACCTTTGAAAGGGCTACCCAGAGAGGCTGAGGACTCTGTTCTTGCAAACTTTTAAAGCCCAGCTCAAGAAAGCCATGGGCAAGCAAGTCTGAATTCAGTGTGGAACCTGCTTTCAGCAGGAGGCTGAGGTAGAGGACCTGCTGAGGTGGTAACCTGAATTATTTTAGAATTCTGTGATCTGAGGTTGAATTTTATGTATTTCAATGCCTTTATATAATTTTTGTTGATAAAGTTGCATGCTTACATGAGTTGTCTGTAATGATAACATTCAATAATTATGATAATTGTATCATAAGAAAGAGGTCACACTTTGGCAGGAATAGAGAAAAAGAATTTTTAATAGATTTCTTAAGATAGCACTAATTGCCATAAGAGTTACTTGTTTATGCATAGGAAAATTTTTCACCAATTGCTAATGACAGACTAAGATAACAGCCTATAAATGGAGTAAATAATAAAATAATAAAAATAGTTGCAGTACGGTGTCTTAGGATAAAAGCATTTTTCCTTTGTTCTCCTCTATAAGAAGTATAAATGACCAAATCCAGGAGTATGTTTGTGATAAAAGCAGAGTAGGGTGGAGTATTCTCAACTCACAGAAATTACACGATTCAGATATCACGTAAAAGTTTTGCTTTCCAAAATTCACCCACAACTAAGATTCTTGTTTATTTAACAATATACTAGTTTTTCTTTCACATGGAAGAACAATTACTAAGTATTTTGAAAGGGCATGATTTTGGTTTTGGTCATTTATCTTTCAAAATATGCAATTACTCATCTGTGTCCAAAGATGTCTATTTCTTCATTGTTGAAAAAGAACTAATTCATTGTCCCTTTGGCTATTTTGAGGACTTGGATGGTAGTGTTGAAGGGTTTAAAAATGTGAAAAGTCTGAATTTTTCCAAATATTAGAATATAATTTTGTACATTGCAAAAAGGATTGACTGTTTCAGGAAAGGGAAGGTGTGTGAGCACACACGCAGGCTGGCTTTGAAGAGAGAGGGGCTGAATTTTGACCTTGATTTAGGTATTTTTCAGCTGTGATGCTCTTTAGGGGAGCCTGTCAGTTAGAGCTCACTTTTGCTAGGGCTATGAAATCCAGTCCTGGAGCAGTAGTCTTTGCCAGTAGGCATGTTTTGCTGGTAACTTTTCACTGTAATTAGTCCTAATGGTTTCAGGACTGTGTTGCTGGGAGGAAAGGTGCTTGTTATGTGGACTACATGCAACAGTGGCAAAGTCCTTTGGGGGAGGCTTGGTGAAAAAGGCTGCATTTCAGGGGGAAAATAATCATTCTCATCATATAATTAAGAAATGACTCACTGAGTATACATCTAGTGAAGGTAAATTATGAAGGTTTTTGGACAGATTAAATCTGGAGTTTCATATTGTGTGCATTCTTTTTGTGGTTTTTTTTATATAATATCTTTAAATGGCACATAAAATGCATATTTGATGTGAAATTATACAGAAAAGACTAGTAACACAATACCTGACAAACAGAGAGACAATTTAAATAATTTTGGGAACTGCAGCTGCTATGAAAGGTAGCAGCTTTCTTTGTAGGAGTTGCTTATGGTAAAGATGCCCTAGCAGTGTTCTGTAACCTGTAACCTGTAGGAAGGGACATGAAGACAAACAGATATTTAATTACAGTTCTTAAAAGAACATGAATAGAAATTCAGATTTCTGAATACCTTTTTGAACTTATTCTTCACTTTCTGCTTAAATTAGGCTACACCCAGACTCTAGAACCTGGGAATAGTCTTTAGATTTCCAGGCTGTGTGCATGTCCAGATGTATTTTGATGCAAGTCAAGACAAGACCCCAGCGTGACCCAGCAGTTGTAGTCTGCCTTGCTTCTACTAAAAGGCAGCTGGAAGCCATCTGGCAGTAACACAAAGTGTATCTTCTCATATCTCCACAAATCAGTACAAATGTGGGCAGCTTATCTGGGCCCTGGCTCTAGTGGAACAGTGGAACTGATCATATTATTCAGGATGCCACAGATCTGTTGATGTTCTCAACATATTTCACTAATTCTTAAGATCCACCTATTCCAGGACCAGCTCAACTTACTTTTCTTGCTGAGGGTTGCCCCACTGCATGTTTTTGTCAAAACATACTGAAGAAAAAACGTGCACAAGATTGTATTAAGAGTAAAGAATTAATGTGCATCATATCACTGACTTCTACCAAAGCAGATTTTCTTTGAGGGATCATGTGTGAAAGTCCTTAATTATAGTAACTTTAGCCAGAAGCATTCTTAGCTCACAGAAATATCTACTTAGATACACTTGCTTAATAACCATCTGGTTTTTTGTAGGATAGTCAAGTAATACTCCTTTGAAAAAGAGCAACTAAGTGCTGAACATATGAAAGAAAATCAGGATTAATTAATTATTTACTACATTTTTATTTACTACATAAGCAATTTACATTTATAATAAAAATACTAAATATTTAAGATTCTAGCACTTTTATCAAGATGCAAGTGGGAACAATCTGCTTAGAATCATTTGTCTTAAAGTTAACTTGAGCTGGTATTGTTGTTTACTAGATTAGGCAAGATGTATTTCAGCTGATAAATAAGGAACTGAGGTTTTGCCAGATGATGCATTCTCCTTAAATCACAATTGACTTTGAAAGGATTTGATTTGCTTCTTATGTAGTTTTTCTGTTATACAGGGTCTGAAATGAGCTTTGGGCAGTTTTGCAATGAGATGTGATTACTTTCTACTGCTCTATTTAACTGCAAAAATTGCTGTGATCTGCAAATCCACTCACATGCTGAAGTTCAGACTGAGCTATTGTCAGAGCTATGGAGAGACATGGAAGTCAAGAGATGGTGTTCTACATGCTTTTGAGAAGGCATAGAGCAGATTTTGTCCATCAATGTGCAATATGATGGTGTCAAGTATAGTAGCCTATGGAAATTACAAAGTTTTCACAAAATTTTGTCAAATAATTTCAAACAGAAAAACATGGTAAAATTGCATGAGAGTTGAAGTCTACAGCAATGTGAAGGGCTGACTTTAATATGTTTTAAATTCAACATGAACAAAGGACAACAAAATTTATCAATGCCTCACAGGTGAATGAGAATTTATTCCCTAGCATACCATGGATTTCTACTTCAGTGATTTTTGCCAGAAATATTGTGAATTTGTTTTTGAAAGACTTGTTACATCTAGAAGTTAATCATCTCCCACAAACATGCAGGCCTCTAAAGCTTATTGGAGTATAGTAATGGATTTTAATTTCCTTTCTCTCTTCCTTGTTTAAGTCCTCTTGGTTTATGCTTGTTACCAGGAAGAGCTTGTTGGCAAAGAAATCTGTATTTTTTTTCCTTCTCATCACAAAGAAGAGAAAAATTATACTTTGGTATAGTTTTATGCAACTGTACAGCAGGATCTACAGAGGGAAAGTGACCAGCTGTCTGAAACCAGCAGTGCATGAACACATTCATTCACCCAGATAATAATTTCCCAGATTTGATTTAAGACACTTCATTGAAGTTATTATATTCATGTAAAAGAGGAACAATATATGAGTGAATCAAGCCTTAGGCCTAGATTTTCATCCAAAAGATAAAAGCAAATGAAGAAATTCAGAGAACAAAACAATGGGTAAAGAACTGGAACTGAACCACTTCTGGAGGGAGATTTAGGACTTAATCCTGCAAAGAAAAATCTTCTCTGGCCTTGATCCAAAACCAGTACTCAAGTCTTAACTCTAATTCCATCAGTAGTTTCACTGAAGCCAAATATCTGTCCAAGTGCTTTGTAGACTGGGGCCAGAATATCAATGATTTGCAGGACTAAGCCCTCAAAGAAATTATCTTGGTCAAGTGATAAAGACTGTTAATGAGCTGAACTTGTAAGAGAGATAGAAGGATCTAGCTAGGGCATATCAATGGGTTGTAAAGTCAAGTGAGTATTTGGGAAGTTGCAGTAAAACTTACTGAAAGAAAATAGCTTTAGTATTATTTAACCTTTTTAAAATTTCTTTTTTCCCAAATAAAATAATTTCTAAATAGGTTTTGAAATAATACAATGTTTTTGAGAACTGATAATTTTTGTTGTGACAAAGTCCTTTCTCCTTCCCCGCCCCTCTTTCTTAAATTTTCTATCCAAATTTTTTAGGTTATAATTTAGAACTAAAATTTAAGCATGTGAGAATGTCTCCACATTTGTTCTCTGGATATAGAGGTTGTTTCCTGGCTTTCTTCTGAAATAAATAATTCTGGTGTCCATTCTAGTTATTTAAGCAGTATATATCACTCTTCTTTTTGCAGTTTAGTGGTACATGTATATAAAAGGTATATTATATAATATATTCTTATTATTTGCCATCAGCATACTGATGCAGCCTATATCATAACCCATTCCTTGCAGATTGCTGTTCATTGAGCTGAAATCTTTATTAAACTATTTAAAATGTTTGTTCCATGGTTCCTATTCTTTTCCAGTAGTCAGGAGAGAAGTATTTAGGCTGTGGGGATAAGAGGTAGTATCTGAATGGTGAATTTCTTTTCATAAGGCAAGTATGCCTGTGGTAACACTAGTGGAGATGGAAATAGATAGTGGATAACTATTTGACACTGAATATAGGTTTGGTAAGAGCATTCCATGCTGAGTGAGGTGGGAGAGCAGCCCAGAGTTGACCAGTCTGCCTCAAGAGGTGACACCAAGGACTGATTTTGGGGAGCCCAGATCTGCCTGTAGTCTCTCCCTTCTAAGGCCAGGTTGTGTTTCAGCAAAGGGATCACCCTCCCTGTCCCTTCCAGCCCTGGGACAGGCATGCTGGCAGAGGCTGGCTCCTGGAGTGGGAGAGTCACCTGCCACTTCCTCCCATAGCT